ATCGTCTGAAAAACTTTCCTCGTCTGATGAAATCCCATTATGGGCGTAGACAGCCTCAACTCTTATGCCAACATCTTCCTAAATCTCCGTTTCTTCTTCCATGTCCATCAGTTGTGCATTTTTTATCGCCAACAACCGTTGAACATGATTGCGCGAATTAAAATGTTGTGTCGAGGTTTCTTGTGACTCGAAACTTTTATTGCAGTCAACACATGTTGACACTGATTGTCTTCTCTTCGTTGTCTTACTGAATAAACACAAAACAGATTATGAATATGAATGAATATTCATGATCACATACTTTCAAAAACGAGTTTCAAATTTGTATTTCTAGCGTTCATTCAACAGGTGTTTTCCTATTGGTTGGTTGATTTATCTTTTTGAACGTTTGCTTCCTTATTTGGGGGAGGAAAGGAAAATACTGATTCCTGATTGGCTGATTCAGTCATTGCTCTTATTTTTTGTTCAAATTTTTTTTCCCGCCTTGGGAAAACACTTTTTCATTGTGCGGAAAAATAGTAAGTGTTGGTGAAAAATTTTGTAAAATGTATCGTCCTCGGATGCGCGAACAGGTCGACGAAGACGCGGAAACGCAGGACCCATTCAACTGCTTTGAAGAGTAAGTTATTTTATAAACACATGCACCTGGTTTAATGCAGACTCCCAGAATTTTTGTCCGAAATAATTGTAGCTGTTTCTGTGTTTCATATTTACTAGTAACTTCAACGCGTTTTATGAAGAGCAAACATCCAACAGAATTCAAAATTGTCAGCTGTCTATTACCAGTGGTAAGTACATATAAAGTTGATTTGTTGTTGATACTCTATCACTTTTAATAATGGTTGTTTCCTTTAATTTGTAGGGTCTCGGAGAAATGATGCGACACCGACACGAGACTCATCTGGTGTGTCAGGTATCTATTTTTTATAACATTTATTTTTCAAACAATTCTAGCACTTGCTTTATATTCAGTAAATTCAACTTGAAACAAAGTTTTAAGTTGAAAAATTTAAATAAATTGAATAATTTCCGCAATATTTCATCCTTCCTGATCCTGACCCTGACCCCGACGTTGTGGTCCCGCCAATCCGCCATTATCCTCAGTCCTTGCAAAACTAAAATGGCTTCTAAGCTTGTGGCTATTTTTATCATTATATGCACAAAACGAAGTTATAAATGCTTTAAAATAATGTTGTTATCATGTCCTAGTGTTGTGTTCAGGGAGTATTCTTTCATAAATAAAAATAAACTACTTTTATTGCGTACTGCCTTCGACTTCTTGATATTTTATTTGTTGTTTATAGTGTGTATGGCGACGTTTTAAAATCTTTGTTGTTTGATTTTAGGAAATAATAATTCAGAGCGGCTAATACTCGATCTACAGAAAGAAGTGGCCACCGTCAAAAGAACGCTAAGTAGAATGCAAGATGTACAAGAAGAAATCTTGGCATGTGTCAAAAAAATAAGAAGGGGAACAGAGGCAGAAAAGTTTGATCTTTCAAACTGCTGCCACACTGTGAGTTTAGTATTTTTATTATTTATATTATTAAAGAGGCACGGGACAATTGTATACACACAGAGCTGTCAGATATTATGCATGGCATTATATTTTGTAACTTACATCATAATTTTCCATAAATTTTATGACATTTACGTCTTAAAATATTGTTTCAGGAAAACATCACTCAGCTGCTGGGGAAATACTATACATCGAAAGCACGATTCCCAATGGATTTTCCAGAAAAACAGGTTAATAATAGCATGTATATTTACAGACTATTCGGTTATTTAAAAATAGTAATATATGTATCACAACATAAAAATATTTTTAATACTGGCTGATATATAACATTTTACCATTGATGTTGTTTATAATTTCTACCTATTATTGCTTACCTTTAGCAAGCTTTGAAGTTAGAGTTTAACAACTCTCCAACAGGCCTCTCTGTCGAAGAGCTTCTACTTCGTTTTAAGAAGTTTGAAAGTTCAAAGATGTCGTATTGGAGAAGCGAAGAAAGGAGAAGAGTAAGTAATATATACTGTAAGAAAGACCTTTATTATTTGGCATTTGCACTTAATATTGAAGCTGATTGCATGCATTTAAACCAGAATGAGACATCAACTTCAATGGCAGACTGATATATTAGACATATTTTCGCTTGCCAGTTAGGGATGTTTGATATACCGATATACCAAAAATACCGGTATTAACCCATTGAGTGGCGATGCACCCTACTTTAGTATTTTACTCTGTCTAACGCCAGACAATTTTACTCATCAAGAGGAGAGTTTTGGCGCTTAATGGGTTAAAACCAATGTTGGTATGACTTTTTTCAGTATGTACCGATATACCGACATGTCCGATATACCAGAATGTTTCGGTACGATATGGCAAAATAATCAATGTTTCTATTAAAAATCTCATTGAAATGACTGAAATTCCTTTGAAACAGCTTTGAATTTAGGGAAAGTTAGTTTGCTGACCCAGGGCTGCAAATAAATATTTGACTTGAGAGGACATTTGTCCGATCACTTTTAATTTTGGTCGGACATAACTTGAATTTGGTCGGACAAAAACCAACACCACTAAATTTGGTCGGACATATATATACATCACAAGTCGGACATTGTCCGATGTCCGACAGTAATTTGCAGCCCTGCTGACCTCAGAATGAAATTTCGTCAAACCTTTTTTCTTCAAGACATGTTTAGAACCAAACTTGGAGTAGGGTTCGGATTAGGATTAGTATTTAACCCATTGGGTCACATTGCACCCTGATGCACCCTACTTTAGTATTTTACTCCATCTAATGCCAGACGATTTTACTCATCAAAGGGAGAGCACTGGCGCTTAATGGGTTAACTTGTGCTTTGTTTTTACTCCTATCACAGCTTCTTGGAATTGCAGGATATGAAGCCCTGTTATGTGCACCAACAGAGGCATTAGCTGACAAACTGCTGCAGTTGATTGGGCAGAAATACTCTGTTAACACAAACAAAACACATCTGCAGAATGAGGTGATGCTAGCAGTAAGTGACAATACAATTCTATTATATTTTAACAGTCCTCAATTAAGTGTTTTTCATTTGTGTCTGCAATTTCCTGCTGGTTTTTAAGTGATATAAAATGTTAACGTAATGCTTAAAACTGTGAAAACTAAAAGAATTTAAAAATTTCAATTAATAAGGTTTTATATATAGACTTGGTCAAGTGGAGGACTTGGGTGCCTATGATGCATAAGAATTAATGATTTGCTAATTTCCTTGCCAGAATCTTAACAAATTAATGATTTATTTTAAAAGTTATTACTCGGTTTCAAAACAGGATTTTTCTAGAGGACGTATTAAATATAAACAAAAATACCTCTAGCAAAATTCTGTTGTGGAACTCAATTAACTTTTATAATTAAGATTGAACAATGATTACTGTTACAGTATAATTATTCCAAATTAGCAAGCAAATTGGAATTATGTTGTTATCATATGTGTTTAATTATGGGGTCCCATCCCCACCAAAAATAATTTTTTTTAACCATCACAATTTCTTGTTTGCAACACAACTTTCTTGTTTGCAACACAACTTTCTTGTACACAACATGTATATTCATCAACAACTTTTTAGTATGCAACATCATTTTCGATATATGATTTTTTATTTTCAACACAACTTTTTAATTGCGGGAACCACTGAGCATTTTTATTTTCAATACAACGTTTTATTTTACAACTATTTATAACACAACTTTTTATGTTCAACACAACTTTTTAATTGCGGGAACCACTGAGCATTTACAACCGCATTTATTATATTCATTTTGAAATCAATGGTGTTTCCTGCAATTTGATTGGTTCACAGAAGTGCGATTTCAGCACGAATCATGCTGAAATCGCACTCCTGTGAACCAATCACATTAGAATGCTGACTTCAGCCAACCAATCGTATTTAATCATGGGATTCAAACAGCCAATCAATTTTAAGAAAAATGTGAAATGGCAAATGAGCAAAAACAAAAATTTACATATGTCATTAAGCAATTTTTTAAATTAAGCAATTTTTTGCACATAAAAACAAACTAATATGGATAGCTAAAGTAACCTATCAAAGAATTGCAAATTTTACAAATAGTAAAAGGCAAATTAAGAAAATAATCTTCTATCATATGATCAAAACGCTAAAAAAAGCAAATATAAATCGGAGAAAACCTCGGGGAAAACAAAGCTAAATTCGCCTATCGTATTTTCAGTTTTAAATGTACAAAACTGCACCAAAACTCTTTCAAATCACTCGTAAAACCTACAATATCTTTAAACTTACTTGTGTTGTCTCTTATTCTTTATAAATGTTTTCATTTCTTTAATAATTTAGATTTTTGAACATATATTAAAATATAATTTAACAAATCCTCATTTTGTATTTTGTTCGCTCATTGTTGCTATGCTAGAACACTCGGGGAGGTACCGGAGGTGTGTCTTTTGCAAACAAAAACGTTTGCGGTTTACAAAAATGTTTTAAAATTTCAAAATGAATATAATAAATTGGAAATTGAACTTTGTGTGATCGTGTCGTGCAATTTTGGACTGAAATCAAACTTGTGATTACAAATCGCACTCCCGCTTTGCGGTCGTGCGATTTTGTAAACACGCGTTTGATTTCAGTCCAAATTGCACTCCACTCAGTTCAGTTACCATTATTAATATATTTCTCCAATCAGTTAAAAATCAATAAACTATAGTTTTGCAAAAGGAAACAAGCATGACATAAAGTGTCGCTTAAAGTAAATAGGCCGGGCTAATTCTATTAAATAAGTTACAGCAATAATTACCAATAAATATCTGCAAAATACTCCAATGTAAATAGCCAAAATTAGCAAAATATATTAGTAATACTGTTGTACAACAGGCTTGGTACAAGATTGTTGAATGCAGCCTTGCTACAACCTTGATACAACAGGCTTGTTACATGATTGTTGAATGCAGCCTTGCAACAAGCTTGATACAACAGGCTTGTTACAAGATTGTTGAATGCAGCCTTGCTACAAGCTTGTTACAACAGGCTTGTTACAACTTGATGATCACAACAACTTGTTAACAAATTGTTCTAACAGGCTTGCTACAAGTTGTTGTCAACAAGCTTGCTACAAGTTGTTCCAACAACTTGCTACAAGCCTGCAAATCAACAACTTGTAGCAAGCTTGATATCAACAAGCTTGCTACAAGTTGAGAAAATAACAAGCTTGTAGCAACTTTGTTAACAAGCTGGCTACAAGCTTGTTAAATTGACAACTTGTTGACAAGTTGTGCGTTTTTACGTGTGTAGTGTTGAACGCTCTGCCAGTTTCGCCAATATAACTCCATGAGCAATCAGCACAATTGATCTTGTAGACCACGTTAGTCTGATCCTCCGGTAATGGTCTGTCTTTAGCAGAAGGAAATGACTGTTCCAGAGTGTATAAGGGTTTTGTTGTTATTCGGATGTCATGGGGTTTTAGGATTCTTTTGAGTGGTTCTGTTAGGCCTTTAATGTAGGGAAGGACAGCGTAGCTGTAACTAGACTGCGGCTCTACGAGATCAAAAAACTGTTTTACCAACACCTCAGGCGATGACGCTTTTTCTTGTCTTATCCATTTAACAGTAAAGCATCAGTTATGTGTTTGTGTTCCTGTTGTTTCCCTTCATTTGTGTTGGGCAATGCGACAAACAGCACAAAGTTAGCACTGCACAAACTCTATTACACAGGGCAGCAACATTGCTCAACACAAATGAAGGGAAACAACAGGAACACAAACACATAACTGATGCTGGGTAGGGGTAAAACACGGAAACGGAACGGCGGAACCAGAAAAACGGAAACAGAAAAGAGGGTAAAACGCGGAAAAGAGGGTAAAACGCGGAAGAGGGTAAAACGTGGAAAAGGGGGTAAAACGCGGAAAAGGGAGTAAAACACGGAAAAGAGGGTAAAACGCGGAAAAGAGGGTAAAACACGGAAAAGAGGGTAAAACGCGGAAGAGGGTAAAATGCGGAAAACAAACTTTGAAACTTAGCATGACAAAATTACTGGATGTTGATTGGTCGAGAGGAGTACAATTTTTTCATTAATTGTACTGCAGTACAATTAATGATTTTCCCAAAACAAACAAAATGGTGGAAAGGCATTTTAAACACAAAATTTTAAACACAAATGTGAAATGAAATTGCTGTGAAGGAACTAGATGAAAACACGAGCAAAAGCACCAAATTTTGCTTGAACAAAATAACTAAATGAAAATACAAACAAAAGCACCAAATTTTGGTTGAAAGTCTGGCAGGACTGGGCTTTGGCGAGAGAATATGATGTTGACATTGAGAAGTACGTATCATGCAATGTTGTCATGCTAATAATAAACAACAAACAACAAAATTTCCAAACATCACTCGTACTATTAATCCCTAATTGTACTCGCCATCGCATGATTACCTATACTAACAAAATCAAATTTAATCTAATTAAATACCATAATAAAACGAAGTAAATGTACCTCATTACTGTACTTGAGTTCTATTTTTGAGAAGTCGGCATGTGACAAAGTAAAATTTCTTTGGAGTACTTTTACTTGGAACGAAGTCGTTTAATTAAAGAAGTAACGTTTTACTTTTCGTTATTTTCATCATCTTGCGAAGTATTTTGTTACTGTCTAACTTTTGTTTAATTTCACGTGATGTATTCAGGATTTATTTTAATTTTGGGGTAGGTAATAGGACCTCTACATTCCTCTGGATGGATTTCTTATATCTTCAACGGGATCTGGAGAGTAGACCATGCCGAGAAATATTGTATATTAGGTGCACGCATATATTTATATAATGCGTGTGTTGTTTTGTATGTCAATCCATTGGAGAAGCCCCCCCCCCCCTCTTACACGCCAAAGACAATAGTAGATTAGTACTTTTACTTTTTACTTCAAGTATTTTTAAGGATACTTTGTACTTTTACTTAAGTACGTTTTGCTTCCAGTCCTTTTTACTCTTATTCAAGTCGTTTTATTGTTAATTACTTCTACTTTTACTCGAGTACAAATTCAAAGTAATTTAGGCACCAATGACTATAGATGCCTTTTTCGCCTCAGAAGGAAGACTATTCCACTATACTTAAAACTTCGTTTAAGATAGTTTGTTTTAGGTTTTGGAAGTGCTAGATCAGTATCATTACTTCGAAGATTATATTCTCTATTAAGATCTTTAATTATTATAAATTTTTCTCTAAGACTTGGAGCGGACTGTTCATTAAGAATTTTGTACATCAAAACGCTCTTCACCCAATGACGTCTTACATCATATGCCCACCGACTAATAATCATACACTTACTATGTAAAGGCCGGTTTACACCATCAAAGTTACTGTGATCAAAGTGGCGTCATCTCGCCCAAGCAAACCTGTGACTTAAATACTTTTAAATTTAATTTGTGTTTTTGAAGGGTTTACTGGTGCAAACTTCGTTAATAAAAGCATACTGCATGCAGTGAGCACAAAAACGTTGATAGTGTAACGGCCAGAATCCACCGCCCCCCGCCCGTCCATGTGAAAAGTGAATCTGTGAGTCGTGGGTAGTAGGGGCCGTATTTGTTTCGCCATTACTGCATGGATAAGTATAGAGGGTCAGTAATAACTCTCAAGTCTGTTATTTAAGAAATGCCGACTTGCCTTGCGGTTTGACAAAGAATACCACCTACGCAGTAATTGGCTAATCTCTTTCAGTGCGAACACCTTGCCACAACCCATAGGCTTAGGCGCTTTATAGAGATTGTCTATACTGTATTATCTATGCAAGCGTTGAGTCTGCAAAAATTTTCATGATACATATATTTAAAAACATAACATTTTGGCACTAAATACATAACGATTAGCGCGCTGTTAATACAAGTTTTCTTTGCATACACTGTAAATTTCGAGGAGTTGAATTAACTCCGCCGAGTGTTTTATTCTGTCACCAAAAACGATGACAGAAGAACTCTTTTAGAGTTGTTTCTGTGTACACCATTTCAACGACCGAATTCATCAAATTGTTAGATATTTAAATAACCCGGAAACATGTTGTTTGTGCAAAGAAAACTTGCCTGCAGCGCGCAAATCTTATTTGAAAATCCGTTAAAATATTGATGTTTACACGCGCAAAAAGTGCAAAACGTGACGTATTTAGTGACAAAATGTTATGTTTTGAAAGGTAAAATGGTAAATATCATGAAAAATATGCTTTCAAATAACTCTTACGGGTCGTTGGGGAACACGCTGACTCGACTTCATTAAATACAAGTTATGGTGTCATATAACTGACAGGGTAATGTTATTTCATTTATCACTATACTTTTGACAGTCACAGTTAACAAAAGGACTAGTTTAACTGATACTTGAAGCGTTTCTTCTCTTTACGACACTTCAAAGTTCTCGCCGATGTTAACTATCTATTGTGTAAGTGTCTAAAGTCTAAACGAACGAAATTCATGGTTTGAATCCTGAATAAAAAAGTCGGGCACATGCTCGTGCCTAATTGCCAACTAAAATGTCGAAACTGGGAAGCTTTAAAGTTCCATCGCTCATTAAGAAAAGACGATTCGATCATGGTTTGCCAACATTTAGCTGGAATTCATTAAGAAACATGGAGGAAATTGGCAGTGGTAGCTATGGATCTATACACCACGCAATTTATGACAAGGAGACAGTTGTTGTTAAAAAGCTAAAAGGCGAATCGTCAATTGCCAAAGACCGATTTCTTAAGGAAGCAAAGTTGCTTTTTGAAATGAAACACAAAAGTATACCTGGGTTCTTAGGATTTACAGAAAACCCATATTCATTAATGATGGAATATGTAATGTTTGATTTTCAACCCTTCGGAATTGAGAAAAGCATCACCAATATTGGAAAGTTCTACCACTTCATTGTCCATGAATTTGATTTCAAATTGTTCGCCGATGTTCTTGATTGAATAATACCTGACATTTCCAGTAAAAGGACATGTGGAATGATCGGATCTGAAAAGGAAAAAATGGAGCTCGTTCCATTCTCACATCGTCCATTTTGTAAATTTTATACAGGTATTATTTAATTATTTTAATTTATGTGAGATAATACAGCATTTTGATTGGTCACCAAGTTCAATCTGCGGGACCAGACCAAAAAAAGATGAAAATATTTCAATTTTTATTATCCAGCTACCAATGTCACCAGATCAATCGGAACCAAACATTTGTACTGATGGTGCATGCACAGATTTTGCTTTGTTCCGATGCACTCCTTATTTTCCGGTGAGGAAATTAGCTTTTACTAGAAATCACTTGTTGGATCGAACCGGATCAGAAAAACCTCCGATCCGGTGCTTCTTTTCCGGAGTGGAAATTAGCCTAAACACATTCCCACAAAATTATGGAGAAAAGTCATTGTTTGTTCTGCCAGTTAGGTCTGGTCTATTGCACTACTACTCTTGCTATTTGAACCATCAAAAGAACTGCTATCAATTTCTTGTTGACATGACTTACATCGCCTAAATGCGAAATCTACTGTACAGCAGAGCCCAACCTGTTCAGTTACACATTATTGTGTGATGTATTAACCCATTGAGCACTAGCAGCTCTCCTGTTCATAAGTAAAATTGTCTGGTGTTAAGGCGGATTTCCAGTCCCTGCACAAAGCTGCTTGCAGCTCGCTGTGAGTACTCGCATGAAATGTCATTCCGTTTCCACCACACGCCAATCTCGTAGCTCATGGCATGCCCGTTTGTAGGCTAGGTAGTAGCGGGAAGAGTTCAAAATTCAAAATGGCGCTTAGCAAAAAGCAATTATTGCTTTTGCATGTTGTTATTGTGAAGTCGATGAAAACGATGTATCAAATATTTAAAACAGTTTTGGGTAAGACCAATATTCCAAATGAGAGCACAATTAAGTGAAATTTTTACACTAGTTAAGACTGTTAAAGAGTTACAGGAGGAAGACCACGAAGGCTACTTCAATTATTTCAGGATGTTACCAAACCAATTTGCCGGATTATTTACACAATTTGGTAAAGCCACTAATTTAGAAGCCCAATAAAAACTATTACAATTTCTATCACTCCATCTAGCCGCCATTTTGAAAACAAATTTTCATGTGACTGTATACTGTTTTATGATTGGTTTATTATTGCGATCACTCGCAGTGAGTAAAAAAAAAGATTCATGAAATCCCACTCGTTGTCTGTTGGAGCAATGACTCTGATATGAAAAGCATCAATGACACCGATTACATAAACGAAATTTGCAATTTCATATAGACTATGCAACCTCGTACCCAGGCTCTTTCCACTAAGGGCCTCGCTGGAGGAAAGACCCTGGCGCAGGCTGGTCACATGTCTCCCAGATTTTGGGAGATGACAAAATTTTTACATAAGGCATGTGGTAAAATATAAATTGGACTGTAATCATCTTTTTAAAAATATTATAAAAAATCCATTGTCAAATTGTCATTTCACCTTTTGCTTTGTTTTCTAGATTTTACACATGTTGATGCAGTTCTTCACGCAAGTCATTTCCCTGGCTCACACACAGGAGTTAATATTGCTGAGATGTTCTGCAAGATATGCGCAAGCTGGAATATCCACAAAGCTCGCCGAGAACTTCTTGTTCGAGACAGGGCAGCTAATATGTTCGTGGGCAGTGATTTGGCTGAAATTCCATCTATTCACTGCACAATCCACCAACTTCAACTTGTTATCGAAGATGCAATCCTGTCTCAACTTGCAATCATTGACCTGTTGGCCAAAGGTCGCAGGCTGGTGACCCACTTTAACCACTCAGCACTTGCTCGCAAAGAGTTGAAGATGCTGCAAGAAAAACAAGGCAAGGTCCTACTTTTGCCCATTCAGGACGTCCCAACCCGGTGGAACAGCGCATACCTGATGATGGAACATATGGTTAAATTGAAGCTTGTATGTATCTGATCACAATGGCCTACCCACAATTACTGCAAATGAATGGCAACTCAGTGAACTATTTCTTCTTATTTTGAAGCCTTTTTTTATTTAGCCAAAGGGATGAGTGCTGAATATTCTATACTTTCTAGTGTGATCCCCAACATAGTTACCCTCAAGTTATTTTTGTCCAAGATAGTACAAGATGATCAAGGTGTGCAGACAACCCAAGAATCCCTTCTACAAGCTCTTCAAAACCTTTTCCACCTTAGAGGGTCCAAATGAACTGAATATCAGGAAGGATAAGCACTATGTCACTGTGACAACTATCGATCCACAATACAAGAATACTTTTTTTCAAGACACGGAAAAGGCCAAAGCCTGGCTGCTTGAACAGCTGGTTAAAGTTCACAGAGGTCATCTTGTACAAGAGAATTTGGAGGAGGTTTCCACTTCAGATGGCAACCAGAATGACAACTCTTTCCATGCTGGTCCAGATCATGTTTTGATGATAACAAACCAACACAAAGTCGAAGAAGCTACCAACTCGAAAAGGGAACAAGGTGAACAATCTTGTCTTGTGTCAGCTGCAGAAGAGGTGGACATGTTCATGATGCTGCCACTGCTCCCTCAAACTGTTAATCGATAGTCTTGAATGGTGGAGAAAAGCAACAGAATTCCCACTGTTACACGAGCTTGCATGCAAATTGCTATGCACACCATCTTCATCGGTATTCTCAGAAAGAATGTACTCAGAGTATGGAAACATCTTTGAGGAGAAACAGAGCAAACTCCTTCCTCACAAAGGAGAGAAACTTTTATTTATACATCACATGTTCTGAATTTGAATAGCTGATATAACCTCGTTGTCACTCTAGTACATCAATACATCATCTATTTCATGTCTAGAAACTGTATAGTCTAAAGGCTCGTCTATTTACTAGCTGAAGATTGTACAAATGAACGCCAGGTAATCTGTACAATGCCATTTACCTCCTTCCGTTTTTCAGTCATTTTGTATTATACACAGGAAATTGAAAGCGGTATCAATTTCCCGTGCATAATGCAAAATGACTGAAAAAGTCAAACGTACAATAAATACAATTTTTTCATCCCATGATAATTTTTTTAGGAAATAAGAAAATGTAATTTCTGCCAGGCATATTAGTTATTTTTTGCATAATCAGCAATTTACCTGGGGTGGTGCATGGTCATTTTCTTGTAAAATATTATACTTAGACAAATTTCTGCTTCCATTAACCACCCCTAAAAGCAACCTTTCTAAACACTATAAGCATTTCAGAAAGGCTGTCGCTTTTTGTTTTCGGAAGTTGGAGCTATGTCAGCACTGCCGTTTCAGGGCGGGGTCATTTTCAGGACTTTCGCCCCGGATTCAGGTTTTGGCCTATATGCCATGTTGACCGCCATGGTCATTTTACCCTAAAACAGTTGAGATTACCTGTGCTAAATGAAACGCATACAAACATCTATACAGGTCCTAGACTAAGGGCTATATTATTTGCATTTTGCAACAAAACTTTGGAATACTATTTTTGTCTAGACTTGTCTTGATCAAAATTTTGCTCCGGGAATATGTCCATTTGATTTATGTTTGCTCTTAAATTATAAAAATATGCTAGTCAGGAAATCAAGCAATAAAAAGTCAAAAACATACAATCATATGCTCTATTGCTCTTATGTTCCTTCAGGCTTGCCACTTGGGCACACTTATAAAAAGCATTTAAAATGATAAGCAAGAACTGATAAGGGTCAAATGAAATATCTACCCCCTGACAGGAAGATGACTCTGATAGTGACTTAAGCGTTGGGAAATCCGAATTAGACAGTGAGCCAGAGAACGAGTCAGATTCAGAGCTACTTTGGTAAATGTTTTTCAAGTGACTAATTCTTTGACAGTAAATTAATTATGATAAAGTGATGAAGTAAAGTTCATTATGTACATAAGTATAACATAATGCATTTCATTAAATGATTTTGGACTCATTATATTAATACTATGAATAAATTGCAATTCTGTTAATGCAGCTGTAAAAGTTAAACTACTAGTAGCACATTAAAGCACATTGTCACTTACAAGTATAAATGCAAATGACATCTAAATCTAACATGTTAACAGTTGTACTTTGTCTTTTGATTGTTATCAACTATCAGTCACAGCCAGCTACTTTTTTTGGTACAGCCACCTACTTCAAATCAATCTGAAATCCCTGCTACATTTTCTCAGGGATATATACATAATTCATAAACTCTATATAAAGCACACTTTATGTGATTTTATAAGCATTTTAAAGTTGTTGATATATTGATAAGTTGTTGATATATTGATAGGTTGTTTGTCTCCAGTGCAGCATAATTGGATGCTAAATGTATAGGCGATTGATGAATTTGATGTCTCACAGCAGTGTGTGTTTATTTAAAAAATACAAGCTGGATCTCATGCTATTCCATGACAAAATAAAATTTAGTAGGATAGATCAAGCTACAAAGCTACTGGCAATGAAAGCTCTTTATAATATTTATAATGTACCTGGTGTATTACTGTAATAAATATGAAATAATTGTATGTATGCATATTACACAATACTATATTTTGTCTTGTGTACAATTTAAATATTCAAATTGTTCCGCACACAATGGAGGAGTCTTCGCTTTTGCCTGCATCAAATGACTTTAGTACTTTACCATATGTTTGATAACAGAGAGCTATACCTCGACATAATTCTTGATAATAGAGTCTGAGCGATGCCAAAATTGTATTTATCACAGTGTTTGTAGGGCTTTCTAATAGTCAGGAGAGTATGTTTAGAATTTGAACACAGTTGGTGGGATCATAGAATCTTGCTATTTTATAGCAATTCCACATCTCCGCACAAAGTAAATCCATTGGGTTTATGTATCGGGCAGGATACACTTCAAGACTGACAACAGTCACAACCATATTGTTTGCTCAATTGGTCTTGACAATTTTTACGGCCAACTTCTTGCTTGACTAATGTAACCCAACATTCAATGATATAGAGGAAGTTGAGTCATAATAAATACATCTTTCAGGATTTCTGTCGCAAATTTATATTCTATTGCCCAAAACTATAACACACAAGTTGTAATTTTTCAAGCACAACAAGCGCACTCCTCTAACACCCCTGCCTAAGTACAATTCCAATTTAGCACCCAGAATCTGGGAGCCATGTGACCAGCTTCGACCAGGGTCTTTCCTCCTCAAGAGCCTGGGAATGAGGTTGCTGGTTTTCATGTTTGTTCTTTGTAAAGTACCTCTTATATACAAACGTTCAATCCAAATAAAATAATGTAGTCATTTATGAAAGATCTGAAGCAACTAGAAGCTGTAAGTATGGTAGGTGTTTTGGCATCACAGTCATTTGATTGACCAGAACAAATACTTGTTTTCTAGTATTTGGAAAGGCACACATTTGATCGAGTCTGTCAATTGGTTGTGATTGGTGGGTTTTTGGAAAGTGTTAGTACCCTAAGAATATGCTGAGTGTGTATGGCTACCAAACATGACATACAGTCCAAGGTAAAACACTAAATTTATTGCAGATGCAGTTATTGATATTCATAATTTGTACCAAAAATTATTGACCAATAACTTTTTCACTGTATACCCAGCTAGCACAGTATGTAAGCACAACGTTTTAAATTGGTTGTGGTTTGGTTAGGTCCGACCTAACCTTCAAATAACGTAATTAGAACGTTGTTTGTACACGACACTAATTATAGAATGAATATCCAGACTGGAAATTACGTTCTGATAACGTTATAGATTTACGTTTTCCGCCAACGTTGAGAAAACGTTTTAAACACGTACCAGTCCATAGGTCGGTACGTCGCAACTACGTTCTTATTGCGTTACAGATTTATGTTTTCTGCCAACGTCGAGAAAACGTTTTAAACATATGCGTCATTCGTGGGCGTTGAGGAAACGTTTTTAAGAGGATTACACTTTTAGATCAAGGCGCACATGTACTTACCGCTGTTCACATATCGACTGAGCCGAAATGTGCGTAATTTATTCTAGTTTCAAATTGCAATGTATTCTATTTGCGCACGTTGTCACGGAGCGTATAGTTTTTTTCAGGCAAAGTTTACGAAAGTAATTATTCCACTTTCATATATAATTATTCCACTATTCTAATGTAAATTTGCCTATTTAGTGGAATATCCATTAAGTTTTGCTAACATTTGATTATCTTCACTTATATGTAGTGATTCCGACAGTCTGTTGTTTCATATAGCAGTAATTAATATATCATACGATCGCCACGACTTTATAGTCCGAATGTAAGTATATATTTAACTGTTTGTTCTGTATTGCTCTCTTGTCAGTTGATCTTTGATATTTTCTTTTAAACGAGACATTTTAAACAAAACAGTAGAGCTTTCATGGCATGGACACAGCATGACACATTTTTTCCAAAAGGGCATCTCATAAAAACCGATAAATATTTTATACATTTGATTACGATAAAATGGATTCTTAATTTGAATATTATTGTGTTTGAACTGCAGGGTAAATTTTCATACATTCAATATATTTGCTGCATATTTTTATAGACTCGTTTTTTATCATAAACATTCCTGTAACATGAGAACTTGGCATGACATACAGTATGACATTTTGCCAATGATTCTAAATAACGTAAACCAGTTTTTAAAATTATATATGTTCTGTTGAGTGTTGTCTATGTATGTTCTTTGTATGATTGTGTGGCGATAAAACATATTTTGTTTGTGGAAACACCACGTAAATTTATTACAGCAGTCTGCAAAGCTTTCGATCCGTAAGGCTGGATCTTCATCAGTGCTATTAAAATAATACGAGTGTTGTCTGTTGATAAATTATACTACATTCCTGATGATGACTGCAAGCTAGTCGAAACGTCAAATTAAAAATGTTAACTGTTTTCGGAGTGTCCATAGTTTTGTATGTTTTTAAAATTACTCAGTGTTAACCACAACTTCTGGCCAAACCTCCACACCACTAATCCAATATGTCAATCAATATATCATGATTTACCGGTCCCTTAATTAATTTTTAGCTTGACTACTTTGGCCATAGGACTACCTAGAGCAGGGAGTGACATGTGTTTGTCAGTTGGAAACCTGAGACAACCTTGATGGAAACCAGTATAAATCTGTATGGAATATGTGAAACTTATTTCATTGATAAATTCACTTCAGAAATTGATTCTGAAAATACCAAAACCACATCCTCAAACTTCAAAATGTTCTTGAGAACCATGTGTGCCCCAATTGAGACTGACCTAGGGAGCGGGGTCCCTGAAACTGTAATGATGGTTTTCCTGTTGAGAAATATTTTTACATGCTGCACTCACATTTGTGGTCAGAACCCAGTATTAATCCATTTGCCATGATTGGCAATTATCATGATTGGCAATTATCATGATTGGCAATTACCACGATTGGCAATTATCACGATTGGCAATTATCATGATTAGCAATTATCTAATTGCACAAAACTATGTTTAATAGAGCCACTTAGTTGCCATGGCTAATCCACGTGCTCAATACAAAAGAAAGTGGGTAGCTGCTGCACGAGCCTTAAGAAATGCTGACAATGATGAGCTTTCTGATAACAGTTCTACT